TGCCACCTAACAACTCAGCAGGGTGGTTGAGAATTCTAGAATCTGACAGACCTGGGAGAATTTCTGCACTGACTCTGTGACCTTGTGTGGATGACTTCTCTGAATCTTATTTCTCTCACCTGTTTAAAAAATAAGGTAATGTATCAACTTCATACAATTATTGCAAGAAATTCACATGATAATGTATGCAAACACCTACCATAATACCCATAATGACACAGCCCATTCTCAGTCAAGATTAATGATCACCATTACTGTCCCACCCAAAGTTGGTGGCTCAGACCTGACTCATCAACCCTTTTTCTTGCAGGGAGTTTTGCTAAGCAGCTTGGCCAACCTGTTGTTTCCAAAATCTTGGGGTAAGTCCTGGATGTTCAAGACAGAGTAAGGGTTGGATCACTTTCATGCTGACTTGAGCAGGATAGGTCTGGGGAGTAAGTCTTCTTGGCTCTCCTAGGTTATATTAACCAAAGGGCCTAGTGCAATGAGACATGTCATTCACACGCAGCACCTCCTGACCTTGCTGCCTCGGTGATTGGCCCCTTTGACTGGCCCAGTTGCTAAATGCTAAGGAGGTGGGAGAGGTGACCATAGTCTGCAGTGGACTCTAACAATCAAGGCAGTAGTCAGAAGACTGAAATACGCAAACCTAGAAGAGGCGGGTAACAGCAGCTGCTGTAATGGACAAGCCTCAAATCACAATGGCTCAACCCAGTGAAAGTTTGTTTCTTACTCAAGGAAAGTTCAATTCAGATATCCTGGAACAAGTGGAGATCCTTCCACATTATCTTCTAGGAGCCCAGGCTTCTTCCATTTTACAGCTTCATCTCCTAGGCCCTTGAGCCCCTGCTGGGCCTTCTGCATCTCACCACTAGAGTGGATGAGAGACTGTGCGGACCCTCACAGGAGGTTCTTATGAGGTGGCCCTGGAAATGGCATACCATTCTTCTGCCCCTGGGCTCCTGGTCAAAACCCCAGCTTTCAGCCAGAGCTCGGTGGAATTCAGGCATACCTAACTGCAAGGCAGGCTAGTAAATGAAGTCTAGCTGTATGCCCAAGAGGTGGAGGAAATCGGTCTTGGTCCCACACATTTTTCCAGAGAGAGCATAAGAAAGTTTCTGAGGCATAAAATTGGGAATGCTACCCTTTGATGGTTTCTGACCCCAACTTAGTGCCTTTGGGTGGGATGGAAAGAAGAGGGTACAATTTCTGCCTTGTCTGGGAATAGATTCTCTGCCAATGTCTTTACAGGGATAGATTTTCAGCTCCAGCAGTGGAGACCCGTCCTAGCATCTGGGGGGAGTGTCCACCAAAGTTTGCTACGAAGTTGGGCCGAGTTGTGGTCAAAGAAGGACAGATGGGACGATTCTCCTGCAAGATTACTGGCCGGCCCCAGCCGCAGGTCACCTGGCTCAAGGTGAGGTTTCTGTCTGCCCTGACCCTGATCCAGCCTGTATTAGTCTGTTCTCATGCTGCTAGCAGACATACCTGAGACTGGGTAATTTGTAAAGGAAAGAGGTTTAATGGACTGACAGTTCCACATGGCTGAGAAGGCCTCACAATCATGGCAAAAGGCAAATGAGGAGCAAAGTCATTCCTTACATGGTGTCAGGCAAGAGAGCATGTGAAAGGGAACTCCTTTATAAAACCATCAGATCACGTGAGATTTATGCACTATCATGAGAACAGCATGTGAAAGCCTGCCCCATGATTCAGTTACCTCCCACTGGGTCCCTCCCATGACATGTGGGAATTATGGGAGCTACATTTCAAGATGAGATTTGGGTGAGGACACAACCAAACCATATCGCAGCCTTATGGACCCAGCAAATTCAGGGTTAGACCCTTCAACTAGTAGGAGTCTTTCCATTCTGTTCCTGCTGTTTCAGGTGGTTCTCAGGGGTTCTCTGTACATTTGTTAGTGGTACATGTTCCTGCCCCTATTACAACTTTCCCTGTGTTACTCAGGCCACAGTGTTTTGACAATTCTCACACTCACAAAATAATGAAAAACTTCTGAGTCAAGACAAGCCTGGAAATCTCAAGAGAGTGGACTGTGAAGTTAGGGTACTAGGTGTCAAGCTACAGCTTCCTGGTTTATAAAGCCTGTGAAGCTGGACAAGTCATTTGATTTCTTGGAACCCTGGTTCCCTTATCTGTGAGACAGAAATAATGCCACCTACCTCAAAATATTGTTGGAGGCTCCATGTGGAAGAGATTTATAAACCATTCAGTGCTGGGGGAAGTGAAGCAGAAGTGGGAGAGGTGGGGGGGCAGGGAAGCAGTGGCGTGGGGTTGGGGTGGGTGTTAAACAGGGCAGTGAGGATCTGTGGGGAACAGGTGGAGTCATGGCCAGGGAGAATAGGTTTTTCAGAGATGGAATCCCTGGGTAAAAGTGAGTGTTGACACCTTTTACCTGCTTCCTAACTGTCTTGAACTCGCCTAGGAAAAGACTAAAAGGAACAGGGGGGTAAGGAAAAACTGAAGTGAGGAATACTGCACTTCCTGCCTCAAACTCAGGCTCCTTCGAAACAGTTTGCAGGCATCTGCTCTAAGCAGGACAGAGCACCACACCACATCCATAGGCCTCAAGTCAGGGTCCCTGAACTGTCCAGTCAGCTCTCTGAGCACACTGACAGAGCCCAGAGCAGAGGGCACTGCTGCTCAGGCCCTGGAGTCCGTCCCACCAGGATTGGCAGGAGGCATGAGGACACAGCCAGAAGGTAGGCAGATTTGTGTGACCGAGTTACCCCATTGCCATCCACAGGGGAATGTTCCACTGCAGCCGAGTGCCCGTGTTTCTATGTCTGAGAAGAATGGGATGCAGGTTCTGGAAATCCATGGAGTCAACCAAGATGATATGGGAGTGTACACGTGCCTGGCGGTGAACGGGTCAGGGAAGGCCTCGATGTCAGCTGCGCTTTCCATCCAAGGTATCAGCCAGTGGAGGGCCAATGCAGAACGAACCCTTCCTCACGCCACACCCTCCTAGAGTAGCTGCTTGTTCACTGCACCTGTGTGTGTATACACGTGACCCCCTCACACAGCCAGGCAGTCCCCAGAGGCAGTTTTTTTTCCCCCAGAGTCTTGCTCTGTGGCCCAGGTTGGAGTGCAGTAGTGTGACCTCAGCTCACTGCAACCTCTGCCTCCCAGATTCAAGTGATCCTCCTGCCTCAGCCTCCTGAGTAGCCGGGACTATGGGCACATGCTACCAAGCCCAGATAATTTTTGTGTTTTTGGTAGAGATGGGGTTTCATCGTGTTGGCCAGGCTGACCTCAAGTTATCTGCCTGCCTTGTCCTCCCAAAGTGCTGGGATTACCGGTGTGATCCACCACACCCAGCCACCAGGGGCTGGTCTTTGACAAGAAGAAAGGGTGAGCAGGGGCAGCACAGACCTGGCTCTGGGGGCAGATGCCCCGCACTTGGCTGCCACCTTCCCTGTGTTCTCATACTTTCCCCCACCATGTCCTCAGTGCTTTCTTCTCATCCGGACTCCCTTTTGTACCTGTGATTGCCAGCTAGAAGAATGAACGCTGCTAATATCTTGCCATTACCTCATATTTAACCTGCCGAAAATTTACTCATAGTTTACTCTGCCGTTCAAGTCAGGTGATCCTTCAACCTGACTCCCTCTATTCAGGGTTCCCGTTTTCCTTCACACCCAGACTGGACTTTCCAGCCTCCTTTTGAGCCCTGCCTCTTTCTCCTTGAGTCATCAGCCCTGTCAGTTCTTCCTTAGAAGTCTGGTTGAACACGTCTCCCCCTTAGAGTTCCTCGGTTCCTCACATCCAGCCTGGGGAGGGAGTGCAGAGAAGGGGCTGCATGTCACTTCTCTGGAGCAGGAACTCAGAGGGCAGGAAGGGAAGTGGCTTTCAGTCCTTCTTCCTTCTTTCTCCTCCTCTTTTCTTCTGATTTTTCTCTCTACATCTCCTTTTTCTCAGAAATGATCCCTCCTTGCTCTTGTTACTTTTTCTGGCCCAGGTATTTTTCACAATCTACAGAAAAAAATGCATTTCAGAGTACATTGCAACCCAGAATATGTATATGCAGGTAAATCCCCAAGTTTCAAGAAATCCCCTTGACTCGTACTATGTGTGTGCATGTTAGTTTTTCTCTATTTCGTTTGACATCATTAAAACAAGAAATCCTGGTACTGACCAGAGAACTTGACTTGGTGACTCAGTACTGGATAAGGAGCTGCCACCAGCCATGCAGAGCAATGGGTCAGGCACTCTCCCTGTACCTACCCTGGTGTTGAGTTAAAAACTGTTCCCTCCTGATGGATCTCACGACAAAATATGTTGCCTGGGATTTGTTTTAAAATACCTGAAAACAAATAAAACAAAAATGAATAGATAAGACTAGCAAAATGTTGTTATCTCCTTAATCATGGCGATAGCTTTCAGGGTTTGTTAAATCTTTCTATTATTGTATATTTTGAAATTTACCATGATAAAAGTTGAAAAAGAATATAGCAGGAAAAAATATATATTTTATGTTTTCTCTTGGAAGAACTGGAGAAAATTAAAAGTATGCTTCTCTGTACAATGATAAATTACATCATGGCTGGGCGCGGTGGCTCAAGCCTGTAATCCCAGCACTTTGGGAGGCCGAGGCGGGTGGATCACGAGGTCAAGGGATCGAGACCATCCTGGTCAACATGGTGAAAACCCGTCTCTACTAAAAATACAAAAAATTAGCTGGGCATGGTGGCGCGTGCCTATAATCCCAGCTACTCAGGAGGTTGAGGCAGGAGAATTGCCTGAACCCAGGAAGCGGAGGTTGCAGTGAGCCGAGATCGCGCCATTGCACTCCAGCCTGGGTAACATGAGTGAAACTCCGTCTCCAAAAAAAAAAAAAAAATTACATCATTTGAGTTTGGAATTTTCAGTGGATGTTAGTTTGTCCCCGGATTGGTTTTTGTTTCCTTCTGTTTAGTGAACAGAAACAGATTCCATGCCTTCAGGGTCTGGTGGCACCAGCCACTATTAAAAAGCCCGAAGGACAGCACCTGAAGCTTTGACAGTGTACTCCAGGGCTGGGGGGTGGGAGGGAATTTACAGGCCAAAGATGTTCAGCACCAGGGAAGCTGGAAGGAGCCAGCAGGGTGGGACCACGGTGACAGGGAAGTGCTTGGGGAGGGAGAGCTTGGTGTGTACAGCATTCTACTAACAGTCTTTCCACCCTTCCCACTTTTTCCAGGTTTGGACAGTGCTAATAGGTAGGTCTAGGCTTTGTTACATTTTCCATCATGAAATGTCCTGCAAGGAAAGAGGGGATGCTATCGAGAAATGTCCTGAATTTCTGAATCATCTTATGGGGCAGAAGAACTGGCTGTTTGGAGGGTGTTAATTCTGGGTGTTTTGTCTTGTTCTCCTATTGTAATATGACACACGGGTATTGAGACTGGAAAACTCAGTGTCGCCACCTTTCTCATTATCTACGCAGTCTCTTCCCTGGTTAGTGTCCTGACTGCCCTGACAAGGCTGCCTTCCTCATTCCAGGGCAGAATCTGTTCACCCATCCAGCCCAGACCCAGCAGAAACCTCTTCCTGTGTGCTATATGCTGGGTGTGCCGGGGGGGCGGGGGGCAGACTCCCTGGTGTAGAGGAGGGCTTAGACAGAGCCACAAGCACACATGTTACCAACTGGAAAACGTCTGTTCCAGGAGGGCGCTGATGAGAATAGAGGAGCAGGGAAGCCATTCGAGGCACTTGGCATTTGATCTCAGACCTGTGCAGAGGAATGTTAGCTGGTGAGGCTAAGCTCAGAGTGTGCGCCAAACGGCAGGGATAGCGTATACAAGCTGTGAACCAAGAGGCAGGCCCATGGGACCCAGAAGGACGCCAGTGTGGCCGCAGCCTAGTGGGTGGTGGGACAGGGTATTGTACAAGTCAGGAGCAGCCAGAGCTGCCATTTCTGTGGGCCATCTCGTGGGGCTCAGTTTCCTTCTTAATGTAGTGGAAAAACTGTTGGAAAATCCTTGGGCTTGAAATGACATGATTTATGTTTTCAAAAATCAACTATGGTTGCTGTATAGAAAATAGATTAGAGAGGGCAGAGTGGACATGGGACACCGGTGGTGGGGTTTGAACTAGGGAGGCACCAGTGGAGAAGAGAAGTGTAGGGAAAGCAGGGCTCTGGGCAGGGCTGCAGGACAGGGATGTGTTGGGAACGACTGCTTGTGCTCTGGCTTGGGGAACTGGGCAAACTGCAGAGAAAGATGCTCTTACTTGCTCTTAACTTGGGAGCTTTTGTGATCCCTGGAACCCGTGCTTGTGATGAGTCATGTTTGTGAATAACCAGATGATCATTCTATTCTCCCCTCTCCTCACCCTCTCCACCACACAGATCATTTGGGAGAGAAACGAAAGCCACCAATTCAGACATCAGGAGGGACGTGACCAGTACAATCTCAAAGGCGTCGAAACTGGACAGTCTGGAGGCTGCAACCAAGAGCGAGAACTGCTCCAGTCCCCAGAGAGGTGGCTCCCCAACCTGGGCCCCAAAACACCAGCCTCAGCCCCTGAGGGAGTCCAAGCTGGAGTCATACAGGGACTCGCCCAGAATAGCCCCGCAAACCCCAGTCCTCCAGAAGACTTCCAGCTCCATCACCCTGCAGGCCGCAAGCGTTCAGCCGGAACCACGAGCACCAGTCCTGGGGGCCCTATCACCTTCTGGAGGAGAAAGGAAGGGGCCAGCTGCTCCCCATCCAGCCACCTTCTCCACCAGGCAGCCTGGCCTGGGAAGCCAAGACGTTGCGAGCAAGGTTGCTACCAGGAGAATCCCGCTGGAGGGCCAGAGGGATGCAGCATTCCCCAAATTTGAGAGCAAGCCCCAAAGCCAGGAGGTCAGGGAAAATCAAACTGTCAAGTTCAGGTGTGAAGGTGAGTAGAGCTAATTAGGGTCACCAGTGGCCAGAATGTAGCCCCTTGGTGGCCACTCCCTTCAGCACCCAGCTGGTCTGCACCTCCTATATCCACTCATGTTCTTGGACTAGCTCACCTAGAAAACCACCTTACAGGGACCTTGGACTCACTGTAGAAATGTCCCTTTATTCTGGAGAGACCCCTAACGGCAGCCCATTGTTTGCTACTGGATAAGAGTACTGGCCCTGGGCCCTAGTTCTTACCACCCTAGAAGAAACACCCTCATCATCGCCAGCATCAAAAAACAAACCTCACAGTCTCTTTCACTCTTTCTTCCCCTTGCCTGGCCAACCTGGAGACCTGGCCCATCACCCTGTATTCCTCCTCCCCAAGGCCCTGACTCTGTCTCAGGGGATTTCATCTCGTAGAGTGTGGTTGAGAGTGAGGAAGCAGACAGAGGTGGGAGGGCAGCTCCACATGGAACCAAGCCCTTTCCTCCAGGCCATGCCTTCCCCACCTACCTCACAAGCATGGGGTGCTCTCCAGGGAGTGCGGGGCTCATGTTCTTCACCTGGCCCTTAGTTTCAGGGATCCCAAAGCCTGAAGTGGCCTGGTTCCTGGAAGGTGCCCCTGTGAGGAGACAGGGAGGCACCATTGAGGTTTACGAAGATGCTGGCTCCCATTACCTCTGCCTGCTGAGAGTCCGGACCAGGGACAGTGGGACATATAGCTGCACTGCTTCCAACACCCGAGGCCAGGTGTCCTGTAGCTGGACCCTCCAAGTGGAAAGTGAGTACACTTCTCTGGGTCACCCTGCATTCTCTGTGGGACAGCCATTCATGGGGTGCTTCACCTACTGCAGATGGTTCCTCTCCTACAGCCCCCAGCCTTGGTGCACAACCCGACAGAAAGGTTACCCCCAACCACATGCCAAGGCCAAATATGTTGCTCCAGGCCAGTGATTCATAATCATGAGTTCACATCAGAATCACCTCAAAGTAAACATGCCAGGCCCCACTCCCAGCCCAGTTCAGAGCTACCTTTCTTAGGCCCCTCAGCTGTTTGAACAGTGCCATTACTCAGGTTTGTAACCACAGAGAACCGAGTGTTCATTAAATATACAGGTTTAGGGTAATCTGAGATGGTGTGGTATCCCACATCTTTTATGTTTATTGTACTGTCTGTTTATAAAAGTAATGCATGTTCACTGTGGGAAATTTAAACAATATATAATCTTATGACTCAGAAAAAATTATAATTTTTTTATACAAACTTACCATCGTGCTATTTGTATGCTGCTTTCTATCCTAAGTTGCTCATGTGACATTAATATCTTTCTGTACAATTTTTTGAAAGCGTGACTTTTAGTAGCCATATAATATTGTATGGTGCACTTATTTGTTGAATAGTTAAATTGTTTCCATTTTTCACTATTATAACAAACCTATGATAAATATTCTTGTACCTGTCTATCTCTGTAAAATTTCCCCTTTATTCTAAATGCATATGTAGGCCCTAGGACCATGTCATACCCTTGAGAAATTGATTAACCAATACCACAAGAGGAGAGTCAGCAAATTGCAGGCTGCTGGAAACTAGGGGACAAATAATTTCCACCCATTTTTTTCCACATATAAATCTCAAGCAAAAAAAAAAAAAAAAAGAGAGAAAGAGAGAGAACCTATAGAAAACTTAGATTAAAAGGTATGTAAGTAACATCAACAACTGTAATAATTATTGATAATCTTGTACCAATCCTGACTGAGATCATCTTTAAAAAGTTTTTATGGGAAAATCGAGAAAATTTGGACACTGACAAGATTTAATACAAAGAAATTCGTGGTGTTTTAAGATGTGATGGTGGTCTTGTTAATGTTTTTTTTATATGTTCATTTATTTTAGAGATACATCCTGACTTATTTACTGGTGAAATGATATGGTTTCTTACATTTGACTTAGAAATGATTTATGTTTGGGGAGCACTGGCAGGAGTACCAGTGAAATAATATTGATGTAAATGAAAGTTGAGAGATGGGTACATAGGAATTCACTACACTGCTTTGTCTACTTCTGTGTATGTTTGAAAATTTTCGTAATGCACATTTACAAAAGAAAAAAAAAATAACTTAGTGATGTATCCACATAGTAGAATGCCAGACAGCGTCCTGTAGACTCTGATGCTAAAACATGTTCAAGATGCACTAGGAAGGGACAGGAGCAAAGTACAGGCTCACGTATAAAAGAAAGAAAAGATCTGTGTACACACATGTGAAAAGATGCCTACGTGTGCATAAATCATTTCTGGAAAGGCACACAAGTGCCTCTAGGAAGGGGAAGCTGGGGGTCCACAGGAGGGAATGGGGGGGGGGTCTTATTTTTCACTGTATACTGTTGATTCACTGTTTAACTGGGGTTTTTACTATGCTCATGAATTCCTTTACAAGAAATATTATCCATGATGTTTGGAGGTGGGAGAGCTGGTAGGCAGAGTTCACAGATCTAGATTAAGGCTTATCATCCAGGCCAGGTCTCTGTCTGTGCAGGGAACAGAAATATGGTGTCGGGTCCACCACAGGTTAATGGTGTAACCAGCAGGCCTAGATTCTCCTGTGGCTTCCTCTGCTGTGGATTTATCTAAGTCTCGTAGAAGACTATTTTTAGCCTGTTCACATCATGGGGTAATTCATCTCAGGTTGATTCCCTATCTTGTTGTGTTTTGTGTGACAGCTTTATTGAGATATAATTTATATAACATAAAAGGCACCCTTTTAAAGTGTACAATTTGGTGGCTTTTAATATATTCACAAAGTTGTGTGGCCATCACCATCATCTAATATCAGAACATTTTCATTGCCCCTCCCCGAAAAATCCTACTCATTAGCCACCACTCTTTGTTTTCCCATCCCCACAATCCCTGATAGCTGCTAATCTGCTTTTTGTCTCTATGGGTTTTCCTCTTCTGAACATTTGAGGTTAAGTGGAATCATTCAATATGTGGCCTGTCGTGTCTGGTCTCTTTCTGTTAGCTTAATGTTTTCAAGGTTCATCCATGTTGTAGCAGGTGTTAGTACTTCATTCATCCATGTGGCTGAATCGTATTGCATCATATGGATATACCATGTTTTGTTTATCCATGCGTCAGTTGAGGTCTATGTGGTTGTTTCCACTTTTTAGCTATGGTGAAAGTGTTGCTATGAACATTTATGTATAAGTTGTTTTCAATACTTGTTTTCAATTCTGAGATTTAGACCACATGTATTGTTGGGTCATAAGGTAATTCTAGATTAGATTTAACCTTTTAAGGAACTGACAAGCTGTTTTCCATCGTGGTTGTACTATTTTACATTCTTCTGGCAATGTACAGGCGTTGCCATTTTTCCGCATTCTCACCAATACTTATTTTCTTGTTTGCTTGTTTGCTTGCCTTTAAAAACAAACAAACAAACCAAGGTCTTGCTCTGTCAATGGGGTTAGAGTGCAGTGGCATGATAAGAGCTCACTGTAACCTTGAATTCCTGGGCTCAAACAATCCTCCTGCCTCACCCTCCTGAGTAGGTGGGACTCCAGGTGCTTGCCTCTACACTTGGCTAATTTTTCTTTTATTTTTTGTAGAGATGGGGGTCTCACTATGTTGCCTAGGCTGCTCTCAACTCCTAGACTTGAGTGATCCTACCACTTCAGTCTCCCAAAGCACTGGGATTATAGGCATGAGCCGCTGCACTCAGCCTGTTTTCTGTTTTTTAATTATAGCCATTCACAATCATCTGACTATGATTTTTTTTTTAAACAGGGTCTCACTATGTTGCTCAGGCCTCCTGTATAGGTGGGACCACAGGCACATGCCACAGCACCCAGCTAATCTTGTTTAGTTTTGTAGATACAAGGTCTCACTATGTTGCCCAGGCTGGTCTTGAACTCCTTGCTCAAGCAGTCCTCCCACTTTGGCGTCCTAAAGTGCTGGGATTATAGACATGAGCCACCACATCCAGCCTGACTGCAGTTCTGACTTGCATTTCTCTGGTGACTAGTGATTTTGAGCGTCATTGCATGTACTCATTGGACATTTGTATCTCCTTCGGAGAAATGCCTGTTCAAATACTTCACCCATTTTTTAATTGGGTCACTCACTTTTTTATTGTCAAGTTGTAAGAGTTATTTATATATTCTGGATACACATTCTTTACCAGACATGATTTACAGTAATCCTCTCCCGTTCTGTAAAGGCTGGAGCGTTCGTCATGTGTGGCCACAGAAGTCCCTGCTTAGTTAGTTTAGTGATCAGCTAGTTGGTTGGATGAAGAGTTCCTTAAATGCCTTGAACTAATGCTTTTCCCAGCCTTTGCCAAGGACTCTGTGTGTGTGTCATGTACACCAGTGCTCCAGTCGGCTTTAGCCTTCCTTTTCTGCTTGCACTGAAGCTCCAAGTCAGCCAGAAGTGAGAGAGGAGGCCCTTCTTACATCCTCCCTGGGCAGGCTTACAGCCCTCCACATCCATGTGGCCTTCTCAGTTCTCAGGAATCTGTCAGAGCTTTTTAAAGCCCTGAACATCTCATTCCCCAGTTTTTTCTTTTAAGTTTTTTGGTCAGACTCTTGTTAGCCCTGAATAATACTGCTGTCTCAAGGAGCTTTAATATTAAACAATTGCTACTGATTGTTTTAACAAACACCCTGGAGATGGGGCCACTCACACAGGATAAACTCTGAGTCAGGTTAAATAAAGAAAACCCTGAAAATTGAGCTATTGAAGGAGCTGCCAGACAGGGCAAATAGCGACCTTTCTCTTAGGGATGGGGTTTTTCAGGAGCTTGGAACCCATCCCACCCCTTGCTAAGTGGCTGGTTTTCACAAGTTACTGTTGGTTTCAGAGCTACCCCAGAGCTGGGGCAAGGGGGGGACAAGAGTGAAAATGCCACAAAGCTTGCTGTTCTTACCAAGATTCAGCTGGGGGGTTGGAGGGGTGTTGTTGTTTGGGTTTTTTGGTTGTTGTTTATTGTTTTTTCTTTTTAGAGACAGAGTCTCACTCTGTCACCCAGACTGGAGTGCAGTGGCAGAATCATAGCTTGCTACAGTCTCAAACTCTTGGGCTCAAACAATCCTCCTGCCTCAGCCTACCTGCTTGGGTAATATTTTAATTTTAATTTTTTGGTGGAGACAAGAGTCTTGCTATGTTTCCCAGGCTGGCTTCAAACTTCTGGCTCAAGTGATCCTCCTGCCTCAGCCTCCCAAAATGCTGAGAATAAAGACATGAGCCACCACACCTGGAAGTTTGTTTTTAATGAATGCTCCTCAGAATGTTGCGAGTCTTTGGTTAATTTCTGGCATTCTGAAACCATTGATTTTGACTCTTTTTGCCAGTATTGTTGTTGCTTTTATGGAGAAGAGACCTTCAGAGGTCTTTACTCTGCTGTGCCACATCCTGTCTTCTTGATGAAGACACTAGCTTTTCTAAAACTTCTCCCGTTCCTAAACATCCCAGTTCATTGTTGGCAGATGACTTTACTGTGAAACAGGTCATCTGATGGGTGGTCTTTTAGCTCCTCCTATAGACCTCTCTCTTTCTGTTTTCCTGCACTCCAGAATACCTGTCTCTTTCCCTTCTCAAGACTTCTCTTTCTGTCCCTTCTCATCTTCACAAGGATCTGATCTAACAATGATTTATTCTCCCACCACTTCTTCTGTCTTTCTCCTTCATTTATTGAGAGACCTCTTTTTTCTCCCTGCAAGCATGCTCTACTAGCTTGCCTCAAACTCTCGGGCTCAAGCAATCCTCCTGCCTCAGCCTACCTGCCTGGCTAACATTTTAATTTTAATTTTTTGGTGGAGACAGAGGTCTTGCTGTGTTTCCCAGGCTGGTTACAAACTTCTGGCTCAACCGATCCTCCTGCCTTGGCCTCCCAAAGTGCTGAGAGCTAGTTGTCCCTGTGCTGAAAAAGGAAAGAAAATCTTTCCCTTCCCTCTCTTTCATCCCTAGACTGTATTTGCCACAAGAAGAGTCTCTATGCACAGCTTCTACTTGATAATAACAGCTAACCCTCATTGAAGATGGGCTATGCTAGGTTTTATGCTAAATGCTCTACCTGAATTATTTCATTTAGTTATCCCAACAATCTTACAAGAAAATCATACCCATTTTCTGGATGAGAATACTGATCGTTAGTAAGGTTAAATAACTCATCCAAGTTCACTTGCCTTGTAAAAAAGAGTGTATTTCTACCTCAAATTGACCTGGCATAAAAACCTCTATCCTTTTGGTAACTCCCGGAGGCATTTCTCTAATGAGGGAGTTGAACACCAGCCAAGGGAAGGGGTGGAGAGGGTGCTTCCCCACATACTTCGCGTGGTCTGTCTGACCTTTCCTCAGTGCCAGGCCTGTCCAGGTACACCATCACTCTGTCTTGTCGCTGCCCTCCCATCACCTACCCTCTCCCCTGGGATCTGGAGGAGAAAGTGCAGCTGTACAGTCAGCACTGGCTGTAAAACCTGGCTACACCATCGAGTTCAGCTATGGGAAATTAGTAACCTCATCTGTAAAATGAGCTCAAGAGAACAACCTCAGGGCATTGTCACCGTCCATCTGGAAAAGTACGTGGCACATAGTAGGCCCTCAAATCTTACTAATTTTCTAGCCCATAAACCCCTGCAGTATAATATGGCATTTCCGCTCATCTCTGTATTGAAAGGCTCTCTTGAAAAGCACCAGTGATATATCTTCTAAGCACCAAATCCAGCTCTACCTTTTCTCAGCTCTCAACCACCTTGACACATCTACAGCATGTTCTGCTTGCCACAGAAGAGATTATCCCTATTTCTCTTAATCTCCCCAAACTAGAAAATGTCCCCTAATTCACTGATGTAGAAGGCTTTTGGAAAGCTCAGCTCAGCAGTTCTCAACTAGACTGTGCATTCAAGCCATGGAAGGCATTGTTAGTGCCTGTTCCCACGTCCCCGGCAGCTCTGAGCCCTTGACCTAGAACGGGGCTCAAACTGTGCTTAGGAAACTGGAACTCATGTGAGTCCTTTGATTCAGTTCTGGAATTGGAAAAAAATATCATTGTAATAATTTAAAATGGAAATGTCCTCACCCATGAGCCTGTGGCTTATACAAGTAAAAAGATATTCACAAGACTGTGTAATCACTGACGGGACATATTAAAGAAGATAAGAGACACTGGAAAGTAGAGCAGGACCAACAGGTGAGAAGAAGGAGCTCTCTGAGGCTCCAGGATGGCAAAAGCCAAGGCAAGATAGGAGACACCTGAGTCACAGAGGAGAGAATGCAGGCCCAGGTCCCAAGCACCCCCAGGGCTAGGGTGTTCTGTGACTGTGGAAAAGCCCCTGCCAGTGACCCTGCTTCAGGTTCCAGGTCCCTTCACCACTGGTGCTGCCTGCTTCCTAAGCTTGAAGAGAGATAAGACAAAGCCAGGCTTCCAAAGACACCCAGGTGTCCAGGACAGTGAGGCATGCCTCGGAGGCTGGGGTGACTGAAGGTATCACCAGAGCAGGCAAGCTGTGATCTGAGCTGGCCTGTCCTTTTCCCTCCTCATAGGGCTTGCTGTGATGGAGGTGGCCCCCTCCTTCTCCAGTGTCCTGAAGGACTGCACCGTCACTGAGGGCGAGGATTTTGTGCTGCAGTGCTCTGTACGGGGGACCCCAGGGCCCCGGATCACTTGGCTGCTAAATGGTGAGTGCCCCCTACCCCAGCCCTCTGCTCCCGTCCCCTGGGCCCTTTGGCCCTGCCTGAATTCTCACTTATCTCTCTGAGCCATTTATGCCTTGGACATCCTGGTGGCATGAGAGGGAGGCATGGGACACAGAGAGAACATGGGCACTGGGATCCTGCTCCCAGTTGGCTCAGCAAGTTACTACTCCTGCCTGAGCCTTGAGTTCTCCATCTGCCTCGTGGGAATCATGCCACCCATCTGCAGGGTGGTGGTTGTAAAATTAAATTAGATCATTTATATAAAGTGGTTAATGAGATGCCTGACACATAGGTGCCTGAGCAGTTGGACTTCTTTTCATAGAGTCAAACTCATAATGGCCCTCAATTCACATCTGTTGAGTCAATGAATGAACAAATAAATTAATAAACTAATGAACTGCTCCAGAAGTCACTTGAGGGATCTCACCTTTTATTTAGTGGCAGGTGGTTCTGGGGTTCACAGACCAGTTATTCTCTTTAAAGTGATTGTCCTATAGAGACTTGCCAACTCTGTTTTTTATTATTTTTTTTTGGGGGGGGGGTTTGTCAAGAAAGATCCTTTAAAAAATTATTTGCATATATTACCAGCTTTTTCTTTTTAAGGGACAATTTAGTTTCAACAGTGTGGGAGAACTCTGACTTTAAATGACTGAGAACAGTCCATTAAACTGGTGAGATGGAGCAGGGACTACTTTGGGGTACACAGGGAAGGAGAAAGGGTCCCTGCTGAGAGTCAGGAGACACAGGCACTTGACCTTCTCCACCGCTGAGTGGTCAAATGGCCTTGGACACTTCACCTGTCTGGGTACCGGCTTCTTTATGAGAAGATAGGCTGGAACAGAAGGTTTGGGGTCTCAACCCACTCTCATGCCTAACAGAATAGGCCCCTTAAGAGAGCAGTGGGCCAGGCACCGTGGCTCATACCTGTAATCCCAGTGCTTTGGGAGGCCAAGGAGGGCGGATCACCTGAGGTCAGGAGTTCTAGACCAGCCTGACCAACATGGTGAAACCCCATCTCTACTAAAAATACAAAAATTAGTTGGGCATGGTGGCAGGTGCCTGTAATCCCAGCTACTCGGGAGGCTGAGGCAGGAAAATTGCTTAACCCGGGTGGCAGAGGTTGCAGTGAGCCAAGATTTTGCCACTGCACTCCAGCATGGGCGACAAGAGTGAAACTCCGTCTCAAAAAAAACAAGAGAGAGAGAGAGAAGTTATGCACCAAATAATCCTTGCTAGTATAGTTTGCCCAGGTTTTGCCAGAAGCTGTCTTTGGCAAGTGAGAGGAAGTGCCATCTATCTTCCTACACGTAGTCTCTTCAGTAGGTAAGTGAGAATTGAAGTCGCCTTCCCCCCCAGCCCTCAGCAAAGGACAGACGTCCTATTGGATCCTGTGATTGACTTCAAGGAGGCAATATGGGCATTAAGGACTAATAACGGAGTCTAGACTAAGTATCAACAAACATTTTCTATAAAGGGCCAGGTGGTAGCTATTTTCAGCTTTTCAGGCCATACAGCCTCTGTAACAACTCTCAACTCTGCTGTTGGGGTATAAAAGCAGCCGTAAAAGTCTGGATGCAGTGGCTCATGCCTGTAATCCCAACACTCTGGGAGGCTGAGGCAGGCAGATTGCCTGAGCTCAGGAGTTCGAGACCAGCGTGGCCAACACAGCAAAACTGTCTCTCCACAACAACAACAACAACAACAACAACAACAACAACAACAGCAAAGCAAAAATTAGCCAGCCTTGGTAATAAGCAACTGTGGTCCCAGCTACTCGGGAGGCTTAGGTTGGAGGATTGCTTGAACCCAGGAGGTGGAGGTTGCAGTGAGTCAAGATCACACCGCTGCACTCCAGCCTGGGTAACAACAGTGAGACCCTGTCTCAAAAAATAAGAAATAGACAGTACATAAGCCATAGATATTATGTAAAAGAACGAGTGTGACTGTGTTGCAGTAAGACTTTATGGATACTGAAATGTGAATTTCACATAATTTTTATGTCATGAAATATATTCCCTTTATTTATTTTTTTTTGGCCATTTAAAATACGTAAAAACTATTCTTAGCTTGCAGGCCATACAAAACAAGCTGCAGGTGGGATTCGGCTCGGGAGCTGTAGCTTGCTGTCCCCTAGTTTACTTCACTCAAGACTGTTCTCAGTGACTCTTAGCGTTTCCACACCTTTTCCACTAGAGGGCGATCATGCTCAAGTTGGGTTTCCTTGGCTGCTAATTCGGGTTCAATCCAGCTTCCCAGCTGGGAGAGCCTAATGTCTCCCAATTCTGATGCGCCCTGAGCCAACAGCTCCTTTCTGGGCCTCCATCCCATCCCATGTTTGTGGGTCCAAAGTGAGTTATGTTCTAGTTAAAGGAGAGCTCTCAAAAAGCTTGTCAGCACATGTTTGGACAGCAGAAGTACATTTGTGGCAGTCAGGGAATGCACTGGTATTTTCGAGGAAGAGAGGTTTTGGAGGGTATCATTGTGACAAAAAAATAAAAACAAAGAGCAGTGTCACTTCTCTCAGTGGTAGGATCCAGGCCCCTGCCTTTCCCAGCCCTCGGCCCCACTTGTATGAGGTATATATAGTAAGTTGGGAGGAATCTTTCCCTCTGGTCCTATGGCATGCTTGCCAGTCTCTCTGCCAAACTGTCATGGAGACATGAAGTGCTGCTGTGTGCAGAAGAAAACACTGCAGTGCAGGGAGAAGACTCTGTGTACTTTCTCCCACCCCCACTGGCCACCCCCGATTTTATGAAGTACAAACCAGGACCCTGGGGCCTGGCCACGGAAGAAACTGACGGTTGCTTCCTATGTGGCAGCTGGACACATTCCTGCTCTGAGGCCAGACTCTTCAGTAATGATACATTTTTTTTCCTGGAAATGAAAAGTCACATCCCAGGATGATAAATTCCCAGGAACATAGAGCATTAAGGAAACCGCTCATTGCATGCACTCCTGTCTCCATGCAGGACTTTGTGTGACCTGGAACATGTCACATGGAAGGGACTCTGGAAAAAAAGGAGCCAGAGTCATTTTTAGTTCTCCACATGTACCTTTTCTGTGAACCTGAAAATACACTTAATTGCATAGAAGAAATGTTTCTAACTACAACATCAGGTGGGGGATGCAGAATTGCTTTTTGTTAAATATCTTAAGTGGAAAATGGAATCATTGTTTCTGGAGACGTGTTCGGCCCAGGCAAGGTCTGTTTTGCCTGAGGCTGGGCTATGCGCCAGATGACCCTGTGAGAGTCTCTCCAGGCTCAGAATTCCACGAAGTTGAGGATGTGGATTTGGAAACTATTTAACACAGAATGCCCCAAACTGTGCCCCTTTCACTCCTGCATTCTTAATTCCTCCAGATTCTGCCTTCCCAGTCCCTTTAGACCCCGTCTTCCTCCTCCACCGCACAATTACTCCCTTTCTTTCATCTCTTTAGTCCCTGGCTCTTTCTCCAGCCCATAAGCCTCCGTCCATCTGGCTGGGCATGTGCGTGACACATCATTAGCCCTCAGTGGGTCTGAGCAAGCATGACAAGTGTCAGCATCATGACAGCAGCAGCCCTGCTGAGGACAGGGCTCCCATCCCTACTGCCAGTGTCGCCTGGCCTGAGCCTTCCTGTGCTTCCTCCACAGGGCAGCCCATCCAGTACGCTCGCTCCACCTGCGAGGCCGGCATGGCTGAGCTCCACATCCAGGATGCCCTGCCGGAGGACCATGGCACCTATACCTGCCTGGCTGAGAATACCTTGGGGCAGGTGTCCTGCAGCGCCCGGGTCACCGTCCATGGTAGGAGCCTCCGGGCACCTCAGTAGAAGCACCTTTCCTGCAGACACTTCTGCTTTGGAGGAAGGGCACATTTGTAGAAAACGGTATCATGAGCTAAAATCCAGGGAGCAGAGGTGCACATGGCACTACTCCACACCATTACCAGCAGCAGTTGCTGCAACAGAATGGGTGCTGAAACCTCTCAGGGGCAGAGGAGGGGTTCCTTAAAAAGTGCTGCACCTGAAGGTAGGAAGTGAGGGAGATGACCTCCAGGAGTTCACAGTGACAGGGGTCTGCCATCAGAGGTGGCTTTTCCTCACCGCCTCACTCCCCTGGGGACAATGGAAAGATATGAGGGAAAGAGATGAAGGCTCTCTTGGCTCCAGAAGCTCCTGGTCTGGTTGGAAGAAGACCTCACCTACTACAAAAAGACCTTGGAGAGCACTCACATACTCCCTTAGCAGTTAGTGGTCTCACCAGTGACCCCTTACATGCTGGGGGACCCTGGGTCACAGTGTGCATACTGAGGTTTCCAGAGGGTCACAGGTTGTCCCCTTTCTGCCCCCCTCTTCCACTCACTGGCCAGGCTTATTTTTACGCATCAGCAGCCTGTTCTCCAGTAATCTGATTATCATGGTCATCCATTCAGCAGCCAAGCACTTAGTCCCCAGGAATTGCAGGGAGCCACAGACGGAAGACAGATCTGTCTGGGCTGTGCTATCAGCAGGCATGGTGACAGTTCCCACAGAAGTGCTTCTTGGGTCCAGGGCTTTCAGGTAAGCCTGATCCCACCCTCCCCCTGGGCCTATGCCCCCAGCTCCTGTGCATGACTGGGTCCTCTGGTGCTATCACTGGGTGCAGCGTGTCTGGTCTCCCATCAGACAAGCAGGAGAACACATCTCTCCATTCCCTAGGGCTCAGGTCTCTGAGGAGCATCTCCGTATTATATGAGTAGCCACTATCTGGGAGGCTGTAGGAGGAGGTTTTGCAGAAAAGGAAAAGGGAAGAAACATTTGTGTCTTACTGTGTTAAGTACTTTCACCTCACCCATGTTCTCTCACTGAGACCTCAGTAGCCTAGGGGACAAGGATGCTGCCCTGATTTCAGACAGAAGGCTCTAGAAGTCTCAGGAAGTGAATGTAACTCGCCTAAGCACATCACGCCATCTGCAAAGCTGGCCCCTGGAGTCCAGAGCCTGTGGCTTTCATGTCTGTGCTCATTCTATGTCCTGCCATTTTTCAGAGGGCATGTCCCCTGGCCCAAAGGGGAAGACTGGCCACTGTGGGCTAGGTGAAGTCAGTCCCTTAGGGATGAAGGAACTGGCACTTATGTGGAATGTGGCTGATGCTGGCTCCGTGAAGCCCTCTGCTGGGAGTGAGCACGCTCCCTGGGTGCTCTGATTGAAGAAATGCCTCAGCATGGCGTTGTTAATGGGGAACGGGTCCACCCCTTCCTTCCAGGAACCCCTCCACACTGGGTTCAGAGCCCAGCTCTGGCCTCTGGGAATTTACCAGCCAGATTCTGGTTTACACGCTTACCCCATTTATCCTTAGTTCTAACTTCACGACTCACTGGGAGCTGGGTGGGAAACTCAGGAAATTGTGATAATGGGACTTCAGATGAAACGTGAACTGCTCAGAGCCTCGTCTCTTAGGGCTGGGGAGCAGGACTCACCTTCCCACCAGGGGGATCTTGTTGGAGGCCAGTGTGGCCAACCCTAGAGTCTAGCAAGGGCAGCAAGAGTGAGAATGCTACATGCAGGGCCACGTAGCTCAGCCTTCTGTTTTCCGAGATTCTCCTTCCAGAGCCGAAGCCAAGGGCTAATCCACTGTCTGTCCTGGCTTGCCTGTGTTTAGATTGGATTAAAGTGACCCAGCTGAGCTAAGAATCCCCCAGAGGTGGGAGTCCCAGGCGAAGGATCAAGAACTCTTTAGGGCCATCCTCCTGATTCCCGGGCCTGTGGGGGCTGGGGCCTGAATGATCACCACCCATCAAAAAAAAAAAAAAAAAAAAAAAAAAAGACACAGAGAGGTCCCAGGCAAAAACTCTGCCAAGGAAGTTTGGATTTGCTCTGAGAAGAGGCATGCATGAGAGAACCCCCTCACGGTGTGGGGGATTCACTGGCCTGTGAAGGCCAGACAGAGGCTCAGATACCATAAATGGTGAACAAGGCTGAGGACACAGCCACACGCTCAGGCCTGGCAGCGTTTGGGCTCTTTTGGCACAGGATTGGGGCAGGGTGAGCCTGGCACAGTGACACCCCTGGCACAGTGCCCTGAGACACTCAGGAGGCTTGGGGCTGCTCCCTGCACTGTCCTCCGCTGTGGAGTTTTTCTGACTTGATTGGCAGCCCTGTTGGCTCTGGGTCCTCCAGGGGAAGGGTGGGCTGGGGGGAGATGATCACAGTGGAGGTGTTTATTCCCTGAGGCACTGACGGCTGCTCCACCTCTCCCTTAGCTGCCCAGGCCCAGCCCTCTGTTGTCTTAGTGTGGCACCGGGCCATGGTGGGGAGCATGGATGTGGAGCCAGCGGCCTGGGTGTGAGTCCTGCTCTGCCACTTACTAGCCCTGCACCCTGGCATTAGTTAGCATTCCGGACCTCACCTTCCTCTTGTGTGAAATGGAGATGCTGACAGTCACGGTACTGCAATGATTAAGTAAATGAATGTGCAAAGTATCTCCAGAACATAGGAGTGTTTAGTTTGGATTAGAGTGACCCAGCTGAGCTAAGAGTCCCCTGGAGGTGGGAGTCCCAGGTTCGTGCTGTGCTTATGATTGCCCAAAAGAGCCCACCTTTAAACAAGATACAATCCTTACAAATGCCAAGACTGGGGAGGGGTATTCCTGAAGGATCCACTTTGCCACAGTATTGTTTGTTGGGGGAAGAGACCATCAGAGAATCAGAGGAGGGAGGTGTCCAGCCAGACCCAAGCCACAGACGCACGTCTCCTTTCAAGGGCTGTGGCCACAAGGTGGCACCATGCAGCAATGCATGTCCCCCCAGTTGTCTTCTCTGGGGGGTGGTTGGGGGGCAGCTCTGCTGGAAGCAAGCTTATTCTGAGAGCTTAGCGGATACTGCGCCAAAGTCCAGATTCAGGGGCTCTTCTCACCTTTCGCCTTTTGCTGAGATTTTGCAATCGTCGAAATTGCTGGTGCAGCCTTCAGACATGATTTCTGTGGCCAGACCTTCATGCTTTCTCTGCCTCCCCTCCTTGGTGACACTCTCCTCCTCCCAATCCTGCAAACTCCCACAGATGTCACTTTCTTTGGGAAGCCTACCCTAATCACCCCAGAATGCTTTCCCTGAACACTGTGTGCTTCCACTATGACACTTATTTATCAACAAGTCTTTACTACGTGCCTATACTTACCAGGGCCAGACATTGTTCTGGGGAAACTGCACTCAACAGGACAGCTGAGGGCCCTGCCTGCATGGTGCTTACATTCTGATGGTAATGCTGGCAGCAGTCAGCACCTGGCCTCATTTCAAATGCTGGCACGTGCTGTTAAGAACATGAGCAGGTCACAAAGGAATGATTACCAAGAGAAAAAGCCAATGAGCGGCTCGTGTGAATCAAGGAGGGCAAGAGGGTGCATCTTTAGTGCCCTGAGAAAGGAAGCCTCAGAGGTGTCAGTGGCCTGGGGAAAGAGAGCTCCAGGCAGGTAGCACAAGTGCAAGGCCCTGAGTCAGGATCAAGATGGCCTGTTCTAGGAGCAGCAAGACGGCCTCCATGGCTGCAGCAAAGTAGATGGGGCGGTGTGATAGAAATGAGTTCAGAAAGGCAGGGGCACACCACGCAGGGCCTCTGGAGGTGAGAAGAAAGCATTTTACTCCATGAAAATTTGCTTTCATTTTATTCTACTTGCTTGTCTAATTATCTTCCTCTCCAGACTGTAAGTTTCCTGCAGGGAGGGAGCACATGGTACCATGTACAGAGCCAGGCCTGCTGTGGGAGCCTACATTCCCTGAATGGACAAGAGCACAGAGGTTGCTGAACCTCCCCTGCAGAGCAGGGAGGCATTCCCTAAACTTCCTCACCCTTCTGGGGACTCAGTGCTCATTAGGGTGTGCAGGAAATCTGCAAATTACCTTCAAGAGTCCCTCAACAGGGCTCGGTGCAGTGGCTCAGGCCTGTATTCCCAGCACTTTGGAAGGCCAATGTGGGTGGATCGCTTGATACCAGGAGTTCAAGACCACCCTCAGCAACATGGCGACACACCACCTCCACAAAAAATATAAAAGTAGCCGGTTGTGGTGGCTCATGCCCCTAGTCCCAGCTACTCAGGAGGCTGAGGCAGGAGGATTGCTTGAGCCTGTGAAGTCAAGACTGCAGTTGCAATGAGCTGTGATCACACCACTGAACTCCAGCCTGGATGACAGAGCAAGAGAGAGAGAGAGAGAGACCTTCAACAAATATTCCTTCAAAGAAAGAAAGAAAAAGAAAAGAGTCCCTCAACAAATATTTCTTCTTTCCCCAACACAGGCTAGATAGTTAACCAAGCAATGAATGTCTTTCCGTCTGACCCAGGATGAGTCTAAAAGATGATGAATTCAAATTCCTGCAGATCCCAGGAAGATCTGAAATAGAGTATATATCTCACGGTATCTGGACTGAGTCATTGCTGGGGGGCATCCTTGGGCTAGAATATTTTACATTTACTTCCCCCTGGAGTATCTCCGTCAAGGCTAAAATTCTTCAGTGTCTAGATTTATTAATAGCCTGCTAGTTGTGCCCATTTTGACATAGTTTCTCAGCCTAATGGTTTGTTTATTTAACTGAAGGCCTGGGGGGCCTGTTAAAGGCATCTAAGGACATAAAATGTGGGTAAGTCAAAAATACAAAAAGATGATCTCTAGAATAGATAATAAAATAAGACAAGCATGTTTATTAGAGGATTTGTTTTGGTGCAGAGCCTCTAATGAAGACAACAGGCACCAGTGAAGTCAGCGTTTGCTCAGCAATGAGTAGAGACACAGTTTGTTTTCAGATGAATACCAGGCCTTCTGCAGGGCAGCCTTGA